CTATTTTCATGTAAGGCATTTTCCTTCAACAAAAGTAATCCTATGAAAAATACATTACCTTCTGGATTCAGGTTTCTCATATTCTTCGTCTTTAATGCGTTGAATGGTCTTACTTGAATCTGATGTTCTAAGATCGAGTCAGGGTAACGGTCAAAGAAAATTTCATTGACAGCCATGTCAAAAGTTGGAATAACTTCCTGTAAAAATAAATATGAAGATGTATTTGTATTCATATCTCAGTGTTAAATACAATAAAGGCACGTCAGATTAGCAAAGTATAAAAACAAGACAACATGTCATGCCCCCAAAGTATTACCCTAAAGAATCATGCACGTGCTGTTTTCAAATTTAGGTATGCTGAACTATCTATCTCCGCATATTCTCAATTGGGTTAAATTTGATAATTTATATAAAAGTGCCTTTTTGATGTATACTGGCATATTTTATGCTTTCTATTAGAAGGGAAAAAAATTTTGACCTCACGCTTTCATTATTTTCCTTCTATAATGAAATAATACCAAAGTAAGTTATTTATTTATTTTTATTTTTTGAGGCAGAGTTTTGCTCTTGTTGCCCAGGCTGGAGTGCAATGGCATGATCTCGGCTTGCTGCAACCTCTGCCTCTGGGATTCAAGCAATTCTCCTGCCTCAGCCTCCTGAGTAGCTGGGATTACAGGCATGTGCCACTACGCCTGGCTAATTTTGTGTTTTTAATAGAGATGGGGTTTCTCCATGTTGGTCAGGCTGGTCTTGAACTCCCAACCTCAGGTGATCCGCCTGCCTTGGCCTCCCAAAGTGCTGGGATCACAGGTATGAGCCACCGCACCTGGTGACACCAAAGTAAGTTAAATCATATTTATCCAAATTTGTTAACATATGGTTCCCATTTTACAGATGAGGAAACAGCTTCTGGTTGGCTAAGGAACCTGACTAAAGCTATGTAGCCAGTAATCAGCAAAATCAAGATTCAAAAACCAGGTCTGCTTGCCTCAAAGACCACACCCAGAGTTAACAGAGCTGATACTTCATGAATAAAAACTGACCTGAGGCCAAAAAGTCAAAGTCTACAGTACAGTAAGTATATTCTTTTTTTTTTTTTTTTTTTTTTTTGAGACGGAGTCTCGCGCTGTGTCACCCAGGCTGGAGTGCAGTGGCGCGATCTCGGCTCACTGCAAGCTCTGCCTCCCAGGTTCACGCCATTCTCCTGCCTCAGCCTCCGCGTAGCTGGGACTACAGGCGCCCGCCACCACACCCGGCTAGTTTTTTGTATTTTTAGTAGAGACGGCGTTTCACCATGTTAGCCAGGATGGTCTCGATCTCCTGACCTCGTGATCCACCCTCCTCGGCCTCCCAAAGTGCTGGGATTACAGGCTTGAGCCACCGCGCCCGGCCAAGTATATTCTTTTAAAGCGGCAGGAAGTATGCAATTCAGTTAAAGTATTTCCATTTGAGATAACTTACTTCATGAAACCCAAGAAGCTATAGTTGTTAGATTCATCATTTTTCTACATGAGAAACACTGCCCAGTAAACCATAACCTGTCATTGATAGTAATACAAATCCCACTTTCAGGAACATTAAAATGTGGAAAAAAAAAAAAAAAAAGTTCATCTTAAAGGAGATGATCCTTTTTTTTTTTTGAGATGGAATTTCACTGTGTTGCCCAGGCTGGAGAGCAGTGGCGTCATCTCAGCTCACTGCACGTCTGCCTCCTCGGTTCAAGTGATTCTCCCGCTTTAGCCTCCCGAGTAGCTAGGACTACATGTGCGCACCACCACGTGTGGCTAATTTTTGTATTTTTTAGTAGAGATGGGGTTTCACTTTGTTGGCCAGGCTGGTCTCGAACTCCCGACCTCAAGTGATCCATTTGCCTTAGCATCCTAAAGTGCTTGGATTACAGGTGTGAGCCACCACACCCATCCAAAGGAGATGATACATGGTTTTCTTAGTGTTTGTGCATACTATCTTCATTACCGAGGAATTTGTGTTATCTGGAAACATTCTTTCTGGACAGTTACTAAAATTCATCAAGGTCAAAGCTAAATTCTTACCTGTGGGTAAGAGATGAGTTGTCTGTACAAATTTTTGTCAAATGATTTGATGTGTTCACAGTTTACATTTAAAAATGGCTCACCAATTACATTAATCTACAAGATAAAAATGAACAAGTTATATTTTGCTAACTATTTTAAAACACACAACTCGAATTTAAAGAGTATCTGATTACCTCGCCAAGTCGTTGCATGTATAGAGGTTCGGTAATATCTATGCCAACATTTTCTTCTTCTTTAGCCAGAGGATCAATAAATCGCTGAAGAAATCTCTTTAAGTGGAGAGAAAACATATCAGGCATATAGCATTTGGGAACAGGCAACTACTAAAAACACACAAAGTTAGGAGTATGTCTCTATCAGGAGACAGAAATAAATATTTTTCTTCCTTTTTCTTTTTTAAAATTTAATTTAGAGATGGAGTCTCACTATATTGGTCAGGCTGCTATCAAACTCCTGGCCTCAAGTGATCCTCCCACCTTGGCCTCCCAAAGTGCTGGGATTATAGGGGTGAGCCACCACAGGTGGCCCTTCTAGTCATTATGGTTACTTCGATATAGGTTATAAGCACGGTCTCCCAACATTTTCAGAGCTCAAAGTAATTTTAATACATATAGCTCACCTGAAAGTTTTCTTTGCATGTTGCCACATTTACATCTGTTCCCCAGATCACAAGTTTTTGGCCTAGAGACTGCTCACTTGCCACTATATCTTCTGCTGCTGCCTACACAGAAAAACATGACAGAATCATGAAAATGGAGTTACCCACATGATATCCGCCATAAGATGGTTTCAGGAGACTGCATACTCACCCCGTCAGACTGCAGATCCACTTGCAGGCCCTTCTGCGCAGAGCCCAAGTCAGGCCTCTGTCTCACAGGTGTGCCCCTAACACCACTTCTTGGGGTTCCCTCTACCCGAGAGCTGGGAGTGCCATATGTCAGTGGTGAACTAACATCAAAGTCAAGAGGGATAGCTATAAAAACAAAATTAGGAAATTCTGGTGGTATATCAAACCTGAAATTACAGCATGTTGTCTGTTGACCTATACCATCTAATCGCACAGCAAACTTGAGTATTTATTGCAACCTGTGGTGGTTGAGATTCTGAGCACTATTAAATGTTCTATTAAGAAAAGCATCAAAGAACCTGCTTATTCTGCTCACTAAGCCCTAAAACAATTATTTTCGGCACTCTGTTCAGCTCCTCTGGTTCAGAATATGCTCGCTCATGTGCAGAGGGGATGCTTTAGGCATTATGACAACTGTAATAAAGACGGTAAACCTGAGCAGATAAAGCATCAGCTGTGTATCAAGCACAGCATAACCTAGATCTTCAGACACGCACCTGAAGAATGCATTTGGGGAGGGCTGGAAAATAACACGTCCTGCGCGACAGGGCTCTGTAGGTCCCCTCCAGGCGAGGTTGGCATCGGCTGCAACTCCCCCGTGGAGGTGGAATCCTCGCCTCTAGGTCTCTGAGAAGGAGATGACCTGGCATCCTCACTTCGAGCTTGTGTCACACAAAACAGAAAAGATGGCCATGAACTTTTAGGGCCGGTATTCCTGGATTTGTCTGTCCCTTGGGGCATTATAAAAGACTCACCACTGAACCAAACCAAACAGAGGCAAATGGGCAATCGAATTAAGCAGCACCCAGGCCACAGCCTGCTGTGGGTGTCTGTGCGCACCAGGTGGCAGCGCCCAGCCCGAGGCTGAGCGCCCGGGGCCCGCGCACCCACCCAGCGCTGCCAGTTGCGGCAAGAGAGGGCAGAAGGGGCGGCGCCGGGGACTGTGGTGGGCCCGGCTCGGGGGACTCACGCGTCTGGGCTGGGGTGGTTCTTCCACGCCGGCTGCCGCGGCGGCTCGGGGTCGACGCCGGGGACGACATGGTGCTCGGGGTACCTGCGCGACAAGGACAAGCTCGGGCCGGGCCTGCCTCCCGGCTTCCCTGCTCTGCTCCGCAGCACGGACGATCCAGTCGGCTCCGCGCCACGCCCTCCCTGCCGACGCGCGGTTACCGGGGAAAGGCGGCCGCTTGCGGACGCTCGCAGGCTCCAGGTCCACCTGGCCAGTCGCGCTCCCAAACCGCGGGACCCAGAGTTCCCGCCGGCGGCAAGGTCGTCTCCGCCCCTGGCGGGGCCTCACCAATCACTGCGACGCTCGTGCGTGGCTCCGCCTCCGGGACGCGCCACTGCGCACCAGTAGGGGGGGACAGTGCTACTTCCTTCAGCACCCGCGCGTAAGCCAGAAGTAGGCCTCGCTCGGCACCCCTCTGTCTAGATAGTCTGACCTCCTGCGGGGCCGCGTTTTCGCGGGAAAAGTGGGTCTGACCGCACCAGTTCTCGGGGTGTGTTCCGTTAGCGTTGGCTAGGGAGCATGTGCTTCTTTATCCCTTAGGCGTTTTTGATTAATAAGGACATTAGAGATGCATTTGTCACTTAAAAATTTTTTTTATTAAAAAAATTAAGGACGGGAGGTGGCGGGGATGGTCTTATGTTGCCCAGGCAGGTCTCGAACTCCTGCAATCCTCCCGCCTCAGCTTCCTAAAGTGTTGGGACTGCAGGCGGGCGCCACCGCGCCCGACCGCGTTCGTCACTTTTTATCGAGGAACAAACGCCTCCCAAAGTGCTGGGATTACAGACTTGAGCCACCGCGCCCGACCGCGTTCGTCACTTTTTATCGAGGAACAAACTTGGAGCTCTTGACCCAGGCCCTTCGCTTGTTTTATTTGCCTCTGATATCTATTTAGCCAAGTCCAACACCAAGTAGCCACCCAATCTACTTCCGCAGGTCAGACCGACGGATGGCGTTTCTCCTTAAGTTTCCATGTTGATTAGGGCCAAAGAGGCGAGCCTACAGGCCAGGCTTTCCCGCAGGGGTCCTCGGGAAAGTTCCTGCCGCCGCGCCCCGTAGCCCCGCCCCGGCGCGTAGGAGCATTTCCGGGTCCGGGCTGAGCGGGCGCACGCGCGGGAGTGGGACTCGGCGGCATGGCGGGCTCCGGAGCCGGTGTGCGTTGCTCCCTGCTGCGGCTGCAGGAGACCTTGTCCGCCGCGGACCGCTGCGGTGCTGCCCTGGCCGGTCATCAGCTGATCCGCGGCCTGGGGCAGGAATGCGTCCTGAGCAGCAGCCCCGCGGTTCTGGGTGGGTACCGGCCTGAGCTGGGCCGCGGGTGGGTCCTGGCTTCCCGAGTCGTTCTGGAGCCAGGCAGCCCGGCGCTTCTCTCTGTGTTTAGATGACGGTATTTTGAAGTACAGCGATTAGATTCTTGGGGGAATTTCTATGCGTGTGTATAAAGTGATTTTTCATACTGCTTTTTACTCCCTAGTATTAGAAGAAAGATATTTTAAAGCCAAAGTTGGTGAAAACGACCCCTAATTTGGCAATCCTTGCTATACAGAGTAGGGGGGAGGGCAAGAGAAATAATTTTTTTTTTTTTTTGAGACGGCGTCTGGCTCTGTCGCCCAAGCGGGAGTGCAGTGGCGCGATCTCGGCTGACTGCAACCCCCGCCTCCTGGGTTCAAGCTATTCTCCTGCCTCAGTCCCCCGAGTAGCTGGGATTACAGGCGCGCGCCACCACACCGGGCTAATTTTTTTGTGTTTTTAGTAGAGATGGGGTTTCACCGTGTTGGTCAGGCTGGTCTCGAACTCCTAACCTCATGATCCGCCCGCCTGGGCCTCCCAAATGCTGGGATTACAGACATGAGCCACTGGGGCCGGCCAAGAGAAAGTATTTTCTTTCACCTGAATCTCGCCTAATCCCACCAGTACCTTTTCGAAAACCCTGTATTTACTGTTCCTACCTTGAGAAAAATTGAAGAAAAACAATTGAAGTCATGTTCTTTTAACTCTTTAGCAATGCCTGGGTGCGAACTTTTTCCTCTCTGTGGTAAAAGTGCCTCTTTTTAGCACTTTAAATAATCGAATATTTCGTTGTGGGGAAACTCCCGTATTCCTTCTTTAAAACACGGGTGTGCAGGCCTCTTGATGTTGTGCCCTATTAAAAGGTGAGATTTTCTTCCGGAGGGTCTAGGAGTGAATATGTTGTAGGAATAACTTAAAACAGTTTAAACAAGATGTTGTATGTGGCACGGTGCAGTGGCTTATGCCTGTAATCCCAGCACTTTGGAAGGCTGTGGCAGGTGGATCACCTGAGGTCAGGAGTTCCAGACCTACCTGACCAGTATGGTGAAACCTTGTCTCTACTAAAAATACAAAAATTAGCTGGGCATGGTGGCGAGCGCCTATAGTCTGAGCTATTCGGGAGGATGAGAGAGGAGAATGGCTTGAACCCAGGAGAGGGAGGTTGCAGTGAGCCGAGATTGTGCCACTGCACTCCAGCCCGGGCGACAGAGCAAGACTCTGTCTCAAAAAAAAAAAAAAAAAAAGATGCTATATACATGAATTCTATATATTCTATTTGTTGTCAAGAATATGTTAACAATAGGGAAATATCGAACAAAAAACTAACATTGTGTGGTTACTTTCTCTTCTTAGGGTTTCAAATTTAGCATTCATTTTTGTTTGTTTAGTAACTTGTGTCTAAAGCACTTCCAAGTTTACCTTCCATTCATGACATACCTCCTTTCACTTGAGAGATTCCAGGGGAAGTGTATTAGTTCCTTATTGCTGCTGTAACAATTATCACAAGCTTAGTAATTTAAAACAGCACAGGTCTGTTACTCTTACAGTTCCCACTGTAAGGGGGATTCTGTGAGTCAGAATCCCACACAGGTCTCACCAAGCTAGAACCAAAGTACCACGCAGGGCTGCTTTCTTTCTGAAGGCTCTTGGGGAGGATCCATTGCCTTATTCATTCAGGTTATAGGATTGAGGTCCCTGACATTCCATACTTCTTGAAACTGTCCCCTTTCCTTGGATCACAGCTCCCTTCCCTTGGTCTTCAAGGCCAGCAACAGCATGTCAAGCAGAGGTTTGGAATCTCCTGCTTTCCCAGCTTCCTGTCTCTCTGATCAACTCTTCTTCATCTCCTTACTTTAAAGGCCTGTATGATTACATTGGGCTCTCTGGATAATCCAGTATGATCTTCCCATTTTAAGGTCAGCTGATTAGCTACCTTAATTCCATCTGCAAGCTCAATTTCCTTTTGCTATATACATTTTACATATTCACAAGATGTGACCCCAGGGATTGGGATGCAGGCATCTTTGGGGCCATTATTCTGCCTACTGCTTCCCTGTGGAACATTGTCTAGAATTTTCTGCTTTTTTTGTTTTAATATAGCAACCTTGGGTTAGTGTTTTATATTTATAAGGCTACCTTGAAAACCATTCCATCCTTGGCCAGGCGCGGTGGCTCACGCCTGTAATCCCAGCATTTTGGGAGGCCTAGGTGGGTGGATCACGAGGTCGGGAGATTGAGACCATCCTCGCTAACATAGTGAAACCCTGTCTCTACTAAAAATACAAAAAAAAAATTAGCCAGAGTGGCGGGCACCTTTAGTCCCAGCTACTCAGGAGGCTAAGGCAAGAGAATGGCGTGAACCTGGGAGGCGGAGATTGCAGTGAGCCAGGGTCACTGCCCTCCAGCCTGGGCAACAGAGTGAGACTCGGTCTCAAAAAAAAGTGGTAATAAAAGAAAGAATCATTGCAGCCCCTTTAGAAGTGGTTTACATGATGCTCTTGGCACTCTCTTAACTTGCTTACTTATTTTTTTGAACAGCATTACAGACATCTTTAGTTTTTTCCAGAGATTTCGGTTTGCTTGTATTTGTCCGGAAGTCACTCAACAGTATTGAAGTAAGTTGACAATTTTCGTTTTGCTTTTCTTGTATATTCCTGGAGTGACTCCTGTTACCCATATTTACAATATGTATCTCTTTCATTACAGTTTCGTGAATGTAGAGAAGAAATCCTAAAGTTTTTATGTATTTTCTTAGAAAAAATGGGCCAGAAGATCGCACCTTACTGTGTTGAAATTAAGGTAAGAATTAAAAAAACATACCTTATTACATTATATATCAACATCTGTTTTAACTTATGGTGTAAGGAACTTGGATTTTTATTTTAAAGATAAAACATTTTCCTTTCTTATTGGGGAATTTGCTTATTTCTGCTTCATTGTGTTACAAATGAAGTGGGCTCTTCATTAGTTTTTTTTTTTTTTTTGAGATGGAGTTTTGCTCTTGTTGCCCATTAGTTATTTAGATTTAGTAAGCTAAGGCCTTTGTCAGAGAAACTACTTTGATAATTTCTTTCCTGAGGAGGTGGCAGTAGCACCTTGGGCTCCCTGGGGCCCTGACGGCTTCTTGGTAACTTCACTGCAGCCGGGGCGACGAGCGAAATTCCATTTCAAAAAAATAATAATAATTTGTATTTGTATTTTTATTGTTTATTTATTTTTATTTTGTGAGACAGGGTTTTGCTCTGTCATCCAGGCTGGAGTGCAGTGGTGTGATCATGGCTCACTGCATCCTCCATCTCGTGGGCTCAGGTGATTCTCACACCTCAGCCTCCCAAGTTGCTGGGACCACAGGCATGTGCTACTATGCCCAGCTAATTTTTGTGTTGTTTTTTTTTTTTTTTGTAGAGACAGGGTTTTGCCTTGTTGCCCAGGCTGGTCTCAAACTCCTGGGCTCAAGTGATCTTTCCGTCTCCACCTTCCAAATTGCTTACAGGCATGAACCACACTGTAATCCCCAAAGGGATTGCAGACACAAACCACGGAGTCTGTGAATACTTTTTTCTTTTTTTTTTTTTTGAGACGGAGTCTTGATCTGTCACCCAGGCTGGAGTGCAGTGGCACAATCTTGGCTCGCTGCCACCTCTGTCTCCCGAGTTCAAGCGATTCTCCTCCCTCAGCCTCCTGAGTAGCTGGGATTACAGGCGTGTGCCACCATGCCCGGCTAATGTTTATATTTTTAGTAGAGACGGTTTCACCATGCTGGCCAGGCTGGTCTCGAACTCCTGACCTCAGGTGATCGCCTACCTCAGCCTCCCAAAGTTTTGGGATTATAGGCATGAGCCACCGCGCCCAGCCTAATGTTATATTTTCCACAGCTAAATACTGAATTTTGATATTGCTCCTCTTAGAGACGTAGTTTCAGATATTGCTGAGTCTCAGTTTTTATATCTTATTGATGATTTTGGTTATTTTTTTTTAAACCTAGAATACTTGTACCAGTGTTTATACAAAAGATAGAGCTGCTAAATGTAAAATTCCAGCCCTGGACCTTCTTATTAAGGTAATTATGTTTTTAAGTGCGTGCATTTTATATTAAACGTGTAACTTTTAAAAGAAAATCAGAGTTTTGAGTTGTATTTTGGGTGATGTGTTTGGGGAAGGATAGGATCTAATCACACTGATGTATGGGTAATATGCACATTTTCCAACCATCACCTGACAGTACCCTGACTTTTTGTTCTCAGACTCTTCTGAGCAGTAAAAGAAGAATTCTGAGTTGTGAGCAGAATGAAATAGGAAAATGACTAAAGAATTTATTGCTCTTTCATTTATCACCCTTACTGCCTTTGGCAAAACCTAATGCTATTAGGAATTGCTGAAAGATCACCTTGTATCTCTGAGGTTTTTCCTAAAATCTTAGCACTGGGAAAGAGTTCATATGTTTTTTTTTCTTTTTTTTTTTGAGATAGAGTCTTGTTCTGTCATCCAGACTGGAGTGCAGTGGTGCAATATCAGCTCACTGCAACTTCTGTCTCCCGGGTTCAAGCGATTCTCCTGCCTCAGCCTCCTGAGTAGCTGGGATTACAGGCATGTGCCACCATGCCTGGCTAATTTTTGTACTTTTAGTAGAGGCGGGATTTCACTGTGTTGGTCACACTGGTTTTGAACTCCTGACCTTGTAATCTGCCTGCTTCGGCCTCCCAAAGTGCTGGGATTATAGGCATGAGCCACCGTGTCCAGCAGGAATCGGTTGATATGTTGCAATTAAGTGGTTGTTGGGGTCACTGTGACCTGTTTCTGTTTTTTTTTTTGGCATTTGTATTTTAGAATTCCTTTGTTTCTGGTTGGTCCTTGGTTTTGTAGGCTTCTGGGAGAAAGGTTCTAGTCATGTTGGTTTCTTGGGAAGGTAACAGGTAAGCCTAGAGTATTCTTCCTCTGGTGTTCTTACACCACCCATCTCAACCTCTAATTTCCAGATAAGCTGGGTGGATGTGAATCCTGAGAGACCAAGTGTAAATCCTTGAGACACACCTAATTCTGAACCTTTGCTGTGTACAGAGGCACTGAGATAGAGGAATCCCTTTATTTCCCTCTTTAGAGAGAATGCTAATTTGTATTATTTTATTTTTCTTGATTTCCACACTACATTGATGTACTAATTTGTATTCTTTTAGTTACTTCAGACTTTTAGAAGTTCTAGACTCATGGATGAATTTAAAATTGGAGAATTATTTAGTAAATTCTATGGAGAACTTGCATTGAAAAAAAAAATACCAGATACAGGTGAGATGCATTTACATGTTATTTTCAAATAGTTTAGCAAATTAATGTTAACAAATTATTAGCGTAAGACTTAGATTTTCTCTACCAAGGTCTTATATGTTTTACAGATGAATCCTTTTTGCTGAAAATAAACCAAAATGAAACCAAAAAACATGTGAAGACTTCCCTTCCTAAAAATGTTAATTTTTACAAAATTATTTCTTTAAATGGAAAACTCACATGTCAAATATGATTAATACATTTGCATAAAACTTAGGAAAAAATGCAGCCCTAAAAGCTTTATATTTTATATATCTTATTGTAAAATTAATTTTGAACTTCACATTATTTTATTTTCTTCATACGTTTTGGTTAGTATAACTTATTTAAATGTAGTTTGAGCCCTTGTCTAAAATTTTCTTTTCAGTTTTAGAAAAAGTATATGAACTCCTAGGATTATTGGGTGAAGTTCATCCTAGTGAGATGATAAATAATGCAGAAAACCTGTTCCGCGCTTTTCTGGGTGAACTTAAGACCCAGGTATGATAAAATTTATGACATTCTGCTTCCGTAGACGTGGTTGTATTTTTTTCTTGTAATGACATTTTCTTAAATCTTTCCTTTTAGATGACATCAGCAGTAAGAGAGCCCAAACTACCTGTTCTGGCAGGATGTCTGAAGGGATTGTCCTCACTTCTGTGCAACTTCACTAAGTCCATGGAAGAAGGTATTGCTTGGCTTCACTTGATTTTCTTTATTCAAAAACTAAGTCTAACCAGCAATGCCTGATTATTTTTTTGAACTCTTAAGCAATCCTGAATTCACATACAGTAGTGAGAAATAATATAGAGGGACTTGTGGGCCCTCCCCAGGACATCTTTCCCAACTACAGCACAGCAGCATGGTGGGCGTTAACATTGATGTTGTCCGCTGAGCTTTGTTAGATCTCACCAGTTTAACATGCACACATTTGTGTAGGTGTATTTAGTTCTGTGCAGTTGTTTTACATTTTATTTTTTTTGAGACAGAATCTTGCTGTGTCGCCCAGACTGGAGTGTAGTGGTACTTTCTTGGCTCACTGCAACCTCTGCTTCCCAGGTTCAAACAGTTCTTCACTTCATCCTCCTGAATAGCTGGGACTATAGGCATGCACCACCACGCCTGGCTAATTTTTTTTTTTTTT